TTTTTTTTTTTAGTGAGGAAGATCAACCCTGAGCTAACATCCACGCCAATCCTCCTCTTTTTGCTGAGGAAGAGTGGCCCTGGGCTAACATCTGTGCCGGTCTTCCTCCACTTTATATGGGAGGCTGCCACAGCATGGCCTGACAAGCAGTGCATCGGTGCGCGCCCAGGATCCAAACCCGGGCCGCCAACAGCGGAGAGTGCGCACTTAACCGCTACGCCACGGAGCCGGCCCCCATAAACCATGTCTTTGAAGAAGGGTTGCTACTAGTGCAAATCCCCTCCAGACGGTTAGAGAATCAACAGACAGCCACACTCGCACCCCTCACAGTGAGCCAAGGTGCCCCTTGCTGTAGGACAGGCACTGCATTCCCTACACACTGCACTGCAGAGCCACTTGGGGGTGATAGGGGCTGCTGCCAGCACATGCTCACAGGCTGCACCCTTCTCTGCTTAATTTCCTGGGAGAGACTTGAACAAAAGGGTCTGTCGCCTAAACTGATCTCAAACTACTTGGGGTCAGAGGAAAGAACCATAGACTCTGCTGGCTGGAAGGAACGCCAAGGGTTGATCTAAGTGATGCTCCAGTCTCTGAATTCAGCTCACTCCAGAAATAACAGCCTCAACCCACTCGTGAGCATGAGAAGAGATCTAGAAGAGCATTTCTCACACTTTAAGGTACATACGAATCACCCAGATTCTGATTCAGTAGGTCTGGGGTGGGGGGAGTGGAACGAGGAGGGTGCTGAGTCTGCATTTCTAAGAAGCTCCCAGGTGATGCCCCTGCTGCTGGTTCCGCAGACACGCCCTGAGCAGGAAGGATCTAGAGGGTGTGCTGCCCTCAGAAGCTCCTGCTTTAACAGGGGAAGTGCACTACATGGGCGGACTGAGCTCTCCAAGGCAAGAATTTTTTTTTTCTCCAACCGCAGTGTCTAACCACAGTGCCTGATAGCATCGTAGAACATCTTTATTGGATGGATGGACGGATGGAAGGACGGATGGATGGGCGGACAGATGGATGGGCACATGTGGATGGAAGGGTGGATGGCTGCTGATATTAAGATCAAATGTACAATCAGAAACAACTGGCAATTGATACACAGTCCTTTAAATTACATATCAAGGTAAAAATGTCCTAGGGGGCAAATGAAGGAAGGGGGAAGGAAAAAAGGAAAGAAGGAAGGGGAAGAGAGGGCAGTGAAAGACGAAAAAGGAAAAAGGATCCCTGAACCCCCCGAAAGTTTTCTTTTTACCCCTACTAGGACATCTTTGTAACTTAGCGTGATCTATGGATGTGTCATATCCCCTCCAGCAGACTGAGAGGTGAGCGTGTGCAGGGCTGTGTCTTTATCTCCTAATCCCCAGTGCCCAGCACAAGAGCCGGCTCTAGCAGGGGCTCCGTAACACACAATTCGTGAAATGAATACGGAGAACAGCTCCAGTCACGAAGTCTCTTTTAGGTGCCAGACGTAGATAATCTCATTTAATCCTCATAACAATGATATGAGGTCAGTACTATTATTATCCCCACTTTACAGACGAGGAATGTGAAGCCCAGAGTCACACAAACAATCGGTAGTTGGAATTAGGATGCAACTACCAGAACCCACGTTCTTGACCAAGGGAGAGCCAGGCTTCATGAGGTCTGAAGCTTATATATTCCAAGCGTCCCTATATAAGACAAAGTATACCAAAAAATCCTGCTGCAGAATTTACAAAAACAGATGACCACGAGAACATACGGCCAGGCCCCTTCCTGGCCTTGGAGGCGCTGTGCAAGGGATGGGCTCTGCAGCCGAGGCTTAACTAGCTTCATGGCAAAAGTGCCTCTGGTCTTGACCCAGGCACTGGAAACACGAGGGAAAGGAAGAAGGAAGAGGAGAAATGATCGGAGAAAGAGAGGACAAGATCAAAGGAGCGCAAGAGGAAAGAGGAAGGAGGAAAGAAAACAGGAGGAGAATTGCGAGATGGGTGGAGAAGAGACAGAGCAGTCAGAAGCAGAAGGGAAGAGGCTGATGGGGGAGCGGAGGCTGCCTCTGGATGAACAGGGGTCCAGCCAGCTGTTCCCCCTGGCACCTGGGAGGAGCGAGCCCTCTGCTCCCTCCAGGCCTCTGTGCCTCCACCTGTAGACCTTGCAGCCTCCTCCCCTGGCCATCAGAGTGGCCCTGCCCATGTCCTGTGCACAGGCCTCCCTCCCAGGCCTCTCCTCAGCCTCCCAGACCCACCTGGGAGCAGGGCCCAGAGCTGCAGCCGGCAGGGCTGAGTAATCATTCCTCCAGCAAGCCGCGCCCAGCAGTGTTCTTGCCCAGGCAGCTACCTCCTTCCTGGGTCATCACCTGAGTGCCCAGCGAGGAGATGCAAACCTCAGGCCAGATATTTAGCCTGGTGCATAGAGGAACCAAGGCTACAGAAAGCTTGGTCCAGGGTGGGCCATTGGCCTCTCACTGCCCGACTGCTGGAGTCCTCCTTAAAAGAGAGGTGCTTGCCTGGGTCTTTGCAGCCTGTCCCCTGAAGTCACCTGTTCTGAGCTCAAAGGCCATAGACTCTGCCCAAAACTTCCAATTCTAAAGGCTAACGCCCTTGAGTGGGGAAGGGCTGGGGCCATGTTGGCTCAAGAGACCCTCCAGACCAGCCTCAGATCTCTGCTGCTCAGAGGCAAGTCCAAAGCCACACGCATTGAGCAGCTGAGATCTGACCACAATCAGTAGAATCTGCCCCACACTCCTCCTGCTCAGACGTCACTGCGGTCTTCCATGGGCCACATCTCCCCAGACCATGCACCAGGCTTTCAGACACTTGGGTTACATTCAGCCTGCTCATGTGTCTGGTGGTGGTGTGGGAACCAGAGTCAAGTCCCAACTCGGCCAAAAACTTGGTGCGATTTGGGGGCCAGTCACTTATCTCCACAAACTACCATGTCCTCGACTGTCAAACGGGTACAAAGTATTCCTCAGGGGTTGTTGTGAGAATTGAAGAGATGGCACGTAGAAGCACGTTATCAACGGAAGGGCCCTTACACGTGTCTAACCTGAGCTGCTCTCTGGGAAGGGTCAAGGCTGAGAAAGGGAAGAAGACCTGGATTTGTTCAGAATCTGACAGCAATTTACTGTGTGATCTTGGGTACTCGGCTTTGCCTCTCTAGAATTTAGTTTCCTCACTCACGAAAGGAATGGGAGAAGACAGTTGCCCACGTCCCTTCCAGCTCCATGATTCTGTGGTTCCAAGGTCACGCCTTCCACACACCCTGGCCACGGGTAGCTCAGGCCTCAGGATGGGCCGGATGTGAATCAGAAGTGACCCTGTGAGGAAGGGAGACTGGGGTCTGAGCCATAGGGCCAAGGACGATATTCAAAATATTTGATAACTGGTGAGCAGGGGCAAGAAGCACTCAGAAGGGATGCTGGCTGGCATGCTGCGTATCAGCCCTGCACGGGACAGTGCTGTTCCTGACGTCCAGGGAAGGGGTACATCTCATCTTCTTCAGGGAAGAATCCTCTCCTTCCCCATGGATGTCCCAATTCTCTTGCTCCACACATGGCAACGATCCAGGACCAGTGAGCAGTAAATTCTGTCATCCCACCCCCCAAACTCCTCCACCTTCCCTCAACCCCAAACAAAAGCACCCACACAGTGAGAAGTCACACAACTAAACAGAGAGAGAGAGAGAGCCCTCTGACATCAGCGTCAGCCAACACCCGGTTGGGTGGAAGTCATTCAGGCGGGAAGTCTTTTGCGACATCTGGGTGTGTCACCTGTTCTGAGGCGAAGGTGTGTGAATGACTCCAGGTGTTGTTCCAGCCCCTAAGACAGGTGTCAGGTTACAAGACACATAATCATTCCAGTTTGGCAACTTTACCTGTAGGGTTGTTTTAATCAAACTGCCCCACAGTCCCCAAATCACTCCTGGAATACAGCAGTGGGAGGCAGCAAAGGGGAGAAGGATGCCGGACGTGAGGGACCAAGGCCTGCCCTGCACTTAGGCCTCCTCCAGCCAATGCTGCCCGGGGGTCTCTGACCTGCTGGCCAGCCAGGGCCTGTTCTGGGGAGGCCCTCCTCCTGACTTGGGTTGCCGACATCAGCTCTAGGCTGTAGAGAAATCAGGAAGATCACAGAACCAGCATGGTGAGTGTGGGGACTCTCTGCTCCAAAGACTGGGGGAGGACTGGTCTCCCCATAAAGGGCCCTTCAGGCAGTCTGAGAGGTTACCTGTTGAGAATTTTGTAACATCTTCTAGGTTAAAAAAGAGGTCACACTTGGGGCCGGCCCAGTGGTGGAGTGGTTAAATTCACGCGCTGCACTTTGGGGACCCAGGGTTCGCAGGTTCGGATCCTGGGTGCAGACCTACACACCGCTTATCAAGCCATGCTGTGGCAGGCGTCCCACATATAAAATAGAGAAAGATGGGCACAGATATTAGCTCAGGACCGATCTTCCTCAGCAAAAAAAGAGGAGGATTGGCAACGGATATTAGCTCAGGGCTAATCGTCCCCACCGAAAAAAAAAAAAAAAGAGGTCACACTCAAATCGCCCCCACACTCCAGCCCCTTACATGTCTCAGGATCCACCTGCCCTCCTCTCTCCCTCCTTGCCAACAGCCCTTACACCAGCACCAAGGAGGCTGAGACAGAGGCCAGGGCTATCCTTTCTGACTATCCCCTCCTAAATCCTGCCTGCTGTCTTGCCCAGTGTCTCCTGGTCCTTTGGCTGGAGGTTGGCACTTTTCCAAGGGCGAGGAGCTGTATGGATGCCACAGTGGCCCTCTGCCACCTCCCTGGGGAAACTGCCTCCTTTTCTCCTTAAAGAAAACAGTAGCGAGCTGCCTCAAAACAGTGTCTTGGAGGTCTACTTGGTCTCTTTTGCGGCCCTGCCCTCTCTCCTCCTCCTCTGAACACCTCGATCTTCTCCACTGTCTTGGGGCAAAGAGAATGAATCCCATCTTTCAAAGAGGACAGCTGAGGACAGGGAGGGAAGAGATCATAGCTAGTCTGAGGCGGAACGCAGGGAAACTTCCTTCTCCGATTGCTGGCCAAGAAGCTGCTGTTGCCCAACAACCAACATGAAAATGAAAGGGGAGGGCAGGGGAAGCACTCTGGCCGCGGGGAAAAGAGATGACCTCCTGGGGCCCCTCAGGTGACGGTCTCCTGACTCCCAGCCCGAGCATTTCCCACAACACTCCTCTGAAAAGTCTGGCAAAGCCCTAGCCCCTGTGCTGGGGCAGCTGAGGGCCAGCGAGCGGAAGGGGCTCGCCTGCTTTACTCTGCAATTCCGCCGGGACGGAAGCACCAGCTTCCCGCGTCCCCATCAAGGAAGCGCTCTAGAAGCCCGGCCTGCCTGCAGAGAAGCTCCACCCCGTGGGGCTCTCAGGAGAGAAGAGGAAGCAGTGCCAGCCCGCCCGGCTGTGGGCTGCTTCTTGGTGGCGCAGACAGCTCGGGTGCCTCTTGGGGGAGCAGCACAGGAGGGGATAGTTTCTAAGGCAGCTAACTGGAGCACTAAGTGTAGGATCAGAAGGTCAATGGCCAGCTCCCTTATTAGCCTATTAGTCTTGAGACTTTACTCTTTCTGAGACCCATTTTCTCACTCTGTAAATTGGAAATATTATCCCTGCCACCCTCTGTGCACGCACACAGGGTTAGTGGAAAGAGTGAATGGGCTAAGAATACATGTGAATAGGCTCTGTGAACCATGAAGTACAAATGTAGGGACTATGACTAAAGAGGAATCCGCTCAAGGAAACAACAGGTGGGCGGCACGGCCAGCACTGACCCCGCGCCACCCAGGGAAGGAGGTGGGCATTGCTGCATGAGGAGGGAGGGCAGGTGGGCACACTGCGGTGGGGAGGACAGGCCTGGGGCCCAAATGCAAGGCAGCAGCATGACCAGGGTCCGGGGCAGGACCCAGGGAGTTTCTGGCCCCTGAGCTAGCCATTAAACCACCTGTGCCTAATTACTCTATTTCCCTCTAATGAGGCTGGGACAACCATAGCTCCCAGCCCTGGGAAGAGATGAGAGGACTGACTCACGCCCAGACCCAGCCCTCCCCTCCCCTCCCTGCCTCCTCTCACACCCGCAGGCCCCTCCCTGGACAGAGAGTCAGAGTCCTGCATGATTGCTGCTTCTTAACACTACCTGAGTGGGGGGACTTGATGCTGCTGTGACCCCCAAAGTAGCTCCATCCTTCCAACCACCATTTAATCAGCCCCTGCTACTGGCCAGCCTCCAGATGGTTGGAAGGGAGGTAAAATGTGCAATGCCTCGGTTTTGCCCTGGAGGTGCTCGAAATGCAGAGGAGGGACAGCTCTTAAGCAAACGATCCTAAGAGAACATGACAAATCCAATACCAGAGGTGAGGAAAGGTAACTCTGGAGCAGAGAAGGCAGTAAATTCTCTCTGGGGTGGTCAGGGAGTTGTCCCAGAAGACAAAGTACTTACGCTGGACCTTGAAGGATGAGCAGCCCTCGCCAGGCAGAGAAGGTGGGAAGGGTATTCCAGGCAGAGGGACTGCATGTGAACGGCAAAAAAGAATGGCAGTGGGGGCCAAGGGCAAGGGTGCTGTGGCTGGAGCAACAGGCACAGGGAGCATAGAGGGGCACAGCTGAGGTCTGGGCCCCACAGGGTGGTTGTGCAGGCCCCTACATCGAGCTGGGGGTCAGGGTCCCCACAGAGCCTAGGAGCTCAGTGGGGATGGGCCGGGGAAAGGTCCCAGCAGCTGCCAGGGGCTCATTCCTTAGGCTGAGCCACCTCCAGAATTTGGCCACCCTTCCCTAGCAGGCAGGGCAGCAGGCGTCCAGCTCCACTCATTTGTGCCACCAAATGGGCAGCGTGCCTCCTCTGTGCGAGCACTGGGCTTGCTGATGAGAGAAGGCAGACATGGGTCCTGCTTTCACGGAGCTCAGCATCTAGAGGGGGTGGAGGGTGGGGAGGGATCGATGGTTGTCATACGATCACACAAAGTTATGTTCAACTAACACCTGAGATCTAGGCTGTGATAAGACACACAGGGAGCCGTGAGAGCTAGACCAGGGCATGCGGCCTTGCTGCAGCTCAGGGAGGCTGAGGGCTGCATAGGAGCTGGGGGTGTGGGGAAAAGGAGCCATTCCAGGTGGAGGGAACAGCATATGCGAAAGTGGAAGCACATCCCCCAGGCCCTCTTCCATCTCCCAGGGCTCTCCCCTCCTGCCCCGGGGTTGAGCTGTGTGCCTGACTACTGACGTGGGGAAGTGGTTCAGAAGTCAGGCTCCTCCATGCCCCAAGGCCTCTCTCCTCCTCTCAGCCTTCCTTCTGAGCAGCTGAGAATGCCAGCTGTCACCTGCAGCAAATACCCTTCATTCCCCTGCCTGTCCCCATGACAAAGCCTAAGAGAATGTGAGGAGCTGAATGCGGGAAATGAGAAGAGACTAGTCCAGGGCAGATGGGGAAAATGGGAAAAAGAGACCAAAAACAGGGCTCAGAAACTCTGGACAAACTTTCTGAAGACCCAGAGCCAACCCAGGACAGCAGGAGACAAGTGCTCTCAGGCCTGAAAACCTTCGTGGCCTTTCTGACTTCCCAGACAGCTCTTCTCCCCTCGGCCTGCCTTCCTGCTCAGACGAAAACATCTGCCTCAGTAAACACCTCAAATTCCCAGGCAGTGATTCCTCAAGACAGTGAATCCCCCAAAAGCTAAGATGTGATCATCTGCCACATCTTTTTATAAAGATGCCACCAGACTGAGCTTCTTGAGGACAGGGTCTGTGTCTTTTCCATCTTTTAGCCCCAAACCTAGCACAGGACCTGGCACTTGATAAATGTTTGTGAATGAGTGACAGATAAATGACCCAAGGCGGAATCCCCCATAACCAGCTATTGGACTTATCTGACACTGAAAACAACGTTAGCCAAGTCTGATTGGAAAAGACACCAGATTCTACCAGAGGTGTTACCAGGGTGTTTTCATCCCAGACAGGCCTGAGCCCACCTGGAAATCCCAATGATAGGGGAGAGAGAGTCTGGGCAGAACCAATGTGGGAATCCCCCTGTGACGTGCTTAACTTCACCTCGCAGCCTGCTGCTCTGACTAACGATCATGATTGCAGCAGAGAAATCTGTAAACAGACTCATAACCACAACACCCCTCCTTCCCAGAGCAGTTTCCGTTCCCCAGCATAATCCACATGCTACCGGAAACTCTCAGAGAGTGGCAGATGAACGGAACACTTGAGGAAGAGGGCAGACCAAGATGGCGCCTGTCCAGGGGTGGGCGACTGTCCAGGGTTGGCAGCAGTGTCTTCCATCACGAAATGTCCTGCACATGGGTCTGGCTGGGCTCTGCCTGCTGGTGGGGCTGAGCCCACCAGTGCTTTAGGCATTTCCTGAAATCTCAATTTCTTCCTTTACAATACGCATTCATTCATTCAGCTTGTGTTCCCTGAGCATATACTCTGTGCTAGGCGCTGGCAAGACATTGTGGGAGATTCAGAGAAGAATATGCAGAATCGTAGCCCTCAGTTCTGTATACTCCATAGATGGAACAGAGGCAGGCTAATCTGCTCCCACCACCCCAGGTGGAGCAGGGCACTCGTTCACCCATGGATGTCAACACGAACAGGGCAATGTAGCTGAGGTCACCCCACTTCACCTTCATCCCATTCCCACCCTGACACTGGGGACTTCTTACATGATCACATCTCCAATCCCCAGGGAGGAGGGTCCTGCCACGCTGTCAGGAGGACCTATCCCAGTGAGTAGGAATCACTGGGGCTCTAAAGAGAAAAATAACAACAGCAGCGACATCTCCTCTCCACCCAAACGCCTCAAGCGCAGCATTTTGCAGCTTGAGAAACACGTTCACATCCAGAATCTCCCTGAGTCTTACATCAACTCTCTGAGACACCGTGATCTTCATCGTACAGATGAGGAAAGCGAGGCTCAAGGAGCTTAAGTGGCATGAAAAGGGTCTCTCAGCCAAGAAGAGCCAGGGCTGGGACTCCAAGTGCCCTGCCTTTCCATTATGCCCTCCTTCTCCTCCAAGATGTGGACCCATAAGACCTGAACTTGAAACTAGACTTGAACTTGAACTAGAAACTGCAGAACCAGGCGGCCCCACTTCCCTACCTAGAAACTGATAGATTTTTATAACAAAATGTG